TTATCACTGTTGATACCAGCAGTTGTTAAAACCATCTTATTGATCTTATAACTGTTGATACCAGCAGTTGTTAAAACCTCACCATCTTCATGATCTTATAACTGTTGATACCAGCAGTTGTTGAAACCTCACCATCTTCTTGATCTTATCACTGTTGATACCAGCAGTTGTTAAAACCTCACCATCTTCTTGATCTTATAACTGTTGATAACAGCAGTTGTTAAAACCATCTTCATGATCTTATAACTGTTGATACCAGCAGTTGTTAAAACCTCACCATCTTCTTGATCTTATAACTATCGATACCAGCAGTTGTTAAAACCATCTTCATGATCTTATAACTATTGATAACAGCAGTTGTTAAAACCTAACCATCTTCTTGATCTTATAACTGTTGATAACAGCAGTTGTTAAAACCATCTTCTTGATCTTATCACTGTTGAGACCAGCAGTTGTTAAAACCTCACCATCTTCTTGATCTTATAACTGTTGATAACAGCAGTTGTTAAAACCATCTTCATGATCTTATAACTGTTGAGACCAGCAGTTGTTAAAACCTCACCATCTTCTTGATCTTATAACTATCGATACCAGCAGTTGTTAAAACCATCTTCATGATCTTATAACTGTTGATAACAGCAGTTGTTAAAACCTCACCATCTTCTTGATCTTATAACTGTTGATAACAGCAGTTGTTAAAACCTCACCATCTTCTTGATCTTATAACTATCGATACCAGCAGTTGTTAAAACCTCACCATCTTCTTGATCTTATAACTGTTGATAACAGCAGTTGTTAAAACCTCACCATCTTCTTGATCTTATCACTGTTGATACCAGCAGTTGTTAAAACCTCACCATCTTCTTGATCTTATAACTGTTGATAACAGCAGTTGTTAAAACCATCTTCATGATCTTATCACTGTTGATACCAGCAGTTGTTAAAACCTCACCATCTTCTTGATCGTATAACTGTTGATACCAGCAGTTGTTAAAACCTCACCATCTTCTTGATCTTATAACTGTTGATAACAGCAGTTGTTAAAACCATCTTCATGATCTTATAACTGTTGATACCAGCAGTTGTTAAAACCTCACCATCTTCTTGATCTTATAACTGTTGATAACAGCAGTTGTTAAAACCATCTTCTTGATCTTATAACTGTTGATAACAGCAGTTGTTAAAACCATCTTCATGATCTTAAAACTGTTGATACCAGCAGTTGTTAAAACCTCACCATCTTCTTGATCTTATAACTATCGATACCAGCAGTTGTTAAAACCATCTTCATGATCTTATAACTGTTGATAACAGCAGTTGTTAAAACCTCACCATCTTCTTGATCTTATAACTGTTGATAACAGCAGTTGTTAAAACCATCTTCATGATCTTATAACTATTGATAACAGCAGTTGTTAAAACCTAACCATCTTCTTGATCTTATAACTGTTGATAACAGCAGTTGTTAAAACCATCTTCTTGATCTTATCACTGTTGAGACCAGCAGTTGTTAAAACCTCACCATCTTCTTGATCTTATAACTGTTGATAACAGCAGTTGTTAAAACCATCTTCATGATCTTATAACTGTTGAGACCAGCAGTTGTTAAAACCTCACCATCTTCTTGATCTTATAACTATCGATACCAGCAGTTGTTAAAACCATCTTCATGATCTTATAACTGTTGATAACAGCAGTTGTTAAAACCTCACCATCTTCTTGATCTTATAACTGTTGATAACAGCAGTTGTTAAAATCTCACCATCTTCTTGATCTTATAACTATCGATACCAGCAGTTGTTAAAACCTCACCATCTTCTTGATCTTATAACTGTTGATAACAGCAGTTGTTAAAACCTCACCATCTTCTTGATCTTATCACTGTTGATACCAGCAGTTGTTAAAACCTCACCATCTTCTTGATCTTATAACTGTTGATAACAGCAGTTGTTAAAACCATCTTCATGATCTTATCACTGTTGATACCAGCAGTTGTTAAAACCTCACCATCTTCTTGATCGTATAACTGTTGATACCAGCAGTTGTTAAAACCTCACCATCTTCTTGATCTTATAACTGTTGATAACAGCAGTTGTTAAAACCATCTTCATGATCTTATAACTGTTGATACCAGCAGTTGTTAAAACCTCACCATCTTCTTGATCTTATAACTGTTGATAACAGCAGTTGTTAAAACCATCTTCTTGATCTTATAACTGTTGATAACAGCAGTTGTTAAAACTATCTTCATGATCTTATAACTGTTGATGCCAGCAGTTGTTAAAACCTCACCATCTTCTTGATCTTATAACTATCGATACCAGCAGTTGTTAAAACCATCTTCATGATCTTATAACTGTTGATAACAGCAGTTGTTAAAACCTCACCATCTTCTTGATCTTATAACTGTTGATAACAGCAGTTGTTAAAACCATCTTCATGATCTTATAACTGTTGATACCAGCAGTTGTTAAAACCTCACCATCTTCTTGATCTTATAACTGTTGATACCAGCAGTTGTTAAAACCTCACCGTCTTCTTGATCTTTTAACTGTTGATACCAGCAGTTGTTAAAACACAACACAACTGCACTTTTAAAAAAAAAAGTTGTCAGAGAGACAGCTACATTAGTTAAAAACAAAAATGTGCACACCCCAACTCCCGACTTAAAAAGTAAATAAATAAATAAAAACCACCTACATTTGAGATCGACCTAACAAAAGGACATCCCTCTCTCTCTCTCTCTCTCTCTTTCTCTCTCTCTCTCTCTCTCTCTCTATTTCTCTCTAATACACACACACACACTCACACACGCATGCACGCACACACATATTACATTAGCTAGTAAACACATTGCCCCTACTGTCCATCGAACCGCCCCCCCCCCCCTCCCCCAATAGTGTTCAGGACTCTCCGTTGAATCAACTGGTGACAGATACGTTATGTTTTTAGACACCAGTCAATAACTTATTAGCTTATTGATTGTTATTACACGTCAGGCGACTTTGTTTTGACATGTAGCCACCAGACAAAAGGGTAGTCCGGAGAAATTTATGAACAGTCTCGGACACAAATTCAAAGTGGTAATAGTCATCAGAATAAACATCGGAGGTTTTGTCTTTTTTAGGTTTTGGATATTTAGGTTTGACAGCATAATATTGCATAATTATATAAGTGTTACTTTCAAGATACGGTCACGTTCGCAGGTTCCTGTCTATTCAGGGTATTTTTTTGTTTTAAACAAAACAGACACTTTTAATATGTTCGCGCTTTAGCTGTACTTGTACCATGCGACTCATCATACGTTCATGGATTGGTCCAAAGACATTGCATAGATATAGCCCTGACTTTTCTTTCGCAGTTAGTGGTTGCATTAACCCATTCTGTCTGAACTGTTAGTTTAGTACGTTATGTCCCACAGCACAGTGTTATTATTAAACTTTCTATGAGTTAAATGTCAGTTTCCTTGAACTAGTCAATCTTGGGACGGGTAGAGTTGAAATAATTACTTGTGGTACTGCAAAATGACACCGAGGCATTGACAAATTGGTGATCCCTTTTTTATGATACATCGCATAACTGTTATGAAACAGCTTTCTATTTTTATTATTCGGGTTTGCAAGGATCACTTTAAAATTGTTCCTGTCTGTTCCTTATGTAGATGGCCCTATTTGTCTGATGGGAACACTAGGCTTCCCGTAAACTATTAGATCATATTTGTCACATAAAGAAATGTCAGAATATACGATGCCCCTATTTGTCTGATGGGAACACTAGGCTTCCCGTAAACTATTAGATCATATTTGTCACATAAAGAAATGTCAGAATATACGATGCCCCTATTTGTCTGATGGGAACACTAGGCTTCCCGTAAACTATTAGATCATATTTGTCACATAAAGAAATGTCAGAATATACGATGCCCCTATTGTCTGATGGGAACACTAGGCTTCCCGTAAACTATTAGATCATATTTGTCACATAAAGAAATGTCAGAATATACGATGCCCCTATTTGTCTGATGGGAACACTAGGCTTCCCGTAAACTATTAGATCATATTTGTCACATAAAGAAATGTCAGAATATACGATGCCCCTATTTGTCTGATGGGAACACTAGGCTTCCCGTAAACTATTAGATCATATTTGTCACATAAAGAAATGTCAGAATATACGATGCCCCTATTTGTCTGATGGGAACACTAGGCTTCCCGTAAACTATTAGATCATATTTGTCACATAAAGAAATGTCAGAATATACGATATCGGGAAACGACAAATCAAATGGTTCAGACATGTGGCAAGACAGAGAGCTTTGTCATACTGAAACATGGAAGCATAACAAGAGGACACTAACACAAGATAACGTACCACAGAGAGCTTTGTCATACTGAAACATGGAAGCATAACAAGAGGGCACTAACACAAGATAACGTACCACAGAGAGCTTTGTCATACTGAAACATGGAAGCATAACAAGAGGACACTAACACAAGATAACGTACCACAGAGAGCTTTGTCATACTGAAACATGGAAGCATAACAAGAGGACACTAACACAAGATAACGTACCACAGAGAGCTTTGTCATACTGAAACATGGAAGCATAACAAGAGGACACTAACACAAGATAACGTACCACAGAGAGCTTTGTCATACTGAAACATGGAAGCATAACAAGAGGACACTAACACAAGATAACGTACCACAGAAAGCTTTGTCATACTGACACATGGAAGCATAACAAGAGGACACTAACACAAGAGATGGATAGACGGAATATCCAAGGCTGTTAATACTAGCAACTACATAGAACACACCAAGGGCTGAATCAAACACCTCTTCAAAACCGAGCGAGGAAAATCTAGAGAAAAGAAAAAACAGGAAAGGAACGATATAGAACAAATTTGAAGTTGTTGTCACGTATAGGCTATTATGTGGTTTGTAAAGTGCATTTAAAAAAAAATTGATTCAGTTTATTTCCTCTAAAAAAACAGACAATGATTGCGAAACTGTGTATGATAACACTGGGCTGTAGCTTTGCCCAGGCATTGAACAATGGACTTGCTTTAACGCCAATTATGGGATGGATGTCATGGGAACGTTATAGCTGCAATTTTGACTGTCTAAATGATCCAGATAATTGTATAAGGTAAATCAGTAATGCTAAAGTAGAATTTTAATTTACACTGTGGTAAATACTTTAACTGTTTAATGGATAAAAACAGAAAATATTTTGCTGTCTTCACGTAAACATGACTAAAAAGGTAAACCATGAAGTTTCGACAGAAAAGCCTTACAGTAAGTAATACAACAATATAGGCGAGCCAGCTACTTGCTCTTCGTACTCCAGATGAAACTATGATAAATTAATATAAAGAACAATGAAATTAAATATATTCTTTCAAGAGCGGCAACAAGATGTTTCTAGTCTCTAATTTTCTTACATTGTCATTGACGCTAACAACTGCCTCTTTCTGTTTGAATTGATTTCCACCCTAAAGATCCTTCTACCAAGGCCGTCTCTAGCTGAAGAGAGAGTATAAGGTCTTGCTTTTACTGTACTTTCTTCTGTTGCCAGTGATCAATGGTGACCTGAACAGATTATGAAATTCGTGGCTGCTTCTCACTCTCTTTTTCCTGCTGTGTGCACCTTTGATGGGTCCAAAAATTCGCCATAAGACTGTTTTAGAAAACATGTAAAAAGGCTTATCTCTTTTACTTGTGCTCCGAGTTTCAGAGCCATATAAAACGACTGGTCTCATCAACGTTTGATATATTTTGATCTTGATGTTGCGAGATAGACACTTTGACTTTATCAGATGTTGAAGGGCATAGTTTACTTTATTTCCAGATTGTACTCTAGATTGTTTTTCTTCTCTCGGCATGTTCGAGCAGTTAAAGTTTGCACCCAAGTACTTACATGTTTCTGTAAAAAGTTATATTTTTTAAATCAAAGTTGAAGCAAAAATGCCTTTCAGTCAGGGGTCACTAACACCCGGTGACACACAGTGCCACAAGTCAGATGCAGATCACCTGGGACAGGTCCCAGAAACCCCATTCATGCCATGGGTTATGTAGGGCTCCGGATAACAGTCGGAGTAGGGGTTAACAATAATTTAAAAAAAAAAATGCGTCCTATAGGAATAGCCCACTCAGACAACTGATGTATCAAATCCGAGTAACAACATTTGAATGGGTGTTGTTTATGTGAGTCATTATATTAAACTAGGAGGAATATAAAAGAATGACTAGTCGATATACAGCAACATACTTCTTCTTAAAGTACATGTGTGGTGTTGGTATTCATGTCTATCCACAACCTTCTGTATCGTTTACTTTCAATAAACTACGACACAGATAATCTTCCATGCCATTATGTCAGACTGTCTAGCATCTCTGTCGGTCTCTTTCTCCTTCCATCCAACTTTTCTACCGTAACTGTGATTTTTGGTAATTTTGAATCTATACTCTAGCTCTTGCCAGGAGCCGCAATATAGCCTGGCCATAAATATGGTCTAATGGCTGAACGCGGTTACTGGGACCTCTCCACGGGTGATCCTCATCCACTTGGTGGCACTTTGTGTCATTGGGTGTTTATCGCTTGTGTGATGTCCTAGTGGTGTGAAATCTACTACTACTACTACTACTACTACTACTACTACTACTACTACTACTACTACTACTACTACTACTACTACTACTACTACTACTACTACTACTACTACAACAACAACAACAACAACTACTACTACTACTACTACTACTACTACTACTACTACTACTACTACTACTACTACTACTACTACTACTACTACTACTACTATTACTACTACTACTACTATTACTACTACTACTACCACTACTACTACTACTACTACTACTACTACTACTATTATTACTACTACTATTACCTCTACTACTACTACTACTACTACTACTACTACTACTACTACTACTACTACTACTACTACTACTACTACTAGTAGTACTACTACTACTACTATTACTACTATATTATTTAGGACAGATCAGAACAAGTAATTATCCTCCGCCTCAGAACAGGGCACAACCGATTACGTAACCACATGTACACAAAATTCAAGATAGGCGTATCAGTCATGTGCACCTGTGGAAAGGTGCCCCAGACAGCAGAGCATGTACTCCAGGTCTGCACCGAATTTGACACATTAAGGCAAACCTTTTGGCCAGAAAGAACAACTCTATGGACCACTGAATGAATTAACAACAACAGTGAAATTTATACAAGAGACAAAATTGCTGATATAGACAACTTATTTCAGGCGAACGAAAGAAGAAGACTACTACTACTACTACTACTACTACTACTACTACTACTACTACTACTACTACTACTACTACTACTACTACTACTACTACTACTACTACTACTACTACTATTACTACTACTACTACTACTGCTACTACTACTACTACTACTACTACTACTACTACTACTACTACTACTACTACTACTACTACTACTATTACTACTAATACTACTACTACTACTACTACTACTACTACTACTACTACTACTACTACTACTACTACTACTACTACTACTACTTTTACTACTACTACTACTACTACTACTACTACTACTACTACTACTACTACTACTACTACTACCTGCTGGTCACGAACTTTTTTTTCGCTGGAGGGGAGGGCGGGGGGGGGGGGGGGTGAGGTTAAACGACCCTATCACGGGGATTATCTAAGACCATCAGAAAACAAATATTTACTGAAGTTTTAAAGGAAAATATTAAACATGAGGGAACAGTACTAAATGTCGCGGTTTTGGGGAGGTTGAGAGTCATTGCTTTAACTAGATAAAACTAGCTGTTTGAGACAGAAGATTGTAATATTAGGTATGGACTCACGCTGGAGACACCGGTTCTACTCCCTGATAGCGGGGAGTACTTTTTCATGCAAATGTTTTTTAAATATCTGGGCGATATGGTCGACACGGTACCGGAGAAAATTTGTTGGTGCTACGGGAAATGACAACCCTTGTATAACAACGTAGAGGGTGTTATATTTAACGAAGACCTTCTAGATATAAGACAATAGCGCGAGGATAGGCGACGTATAGTTGTTATAGAAGTATCAGGGGTCAAATGTTTAGTCGAGTGGTTTATTGTCCTGCCTTATTGAACAGCTGGATAGCCAACCAAAAACTCGAGCGGTACAAAAACTAGTGTTTTGGAAGAAGAAGACGAGGTGGATTCTATTACAAGTTCACACACATGGCAATGCTGAAACTTCACGAAAAAGAAACTGAGGCCAGAGACAGCAATCTCCTGTGCTCTATTTTAAGACTGCCGGCCTTGTGTCTAACATATACTAACGCACCACTAGTCGGAGAGTATGTGGTAGACATCGACAGCGACATAGGTAATGTGTACATCTACTGTGACCTCATAGCCTCGAGACCAGTTGGTAATGTCATGGCTCCATTGTTACGTATCTATTACGGATGGAAGTTCGGCCTCCGTGTTTCACATCTTAGAAAAGCCAAATTACGTACCCCTAAGTTTTCTTTCAACACGGTGGAAATCCTTCTAACCACCAACACGGGAAAAACCATCATATTCAAGAGTGGAACTTCGGTGGTGACGTTACACTTTAGAACCTAAAGAAATTTTTATCTATAGTAATGGTGAGACACGTTCCGTTACCTCTTGAATGTTGTGCACAGGTGGTTGCATAATCGGTTGTGTCCTGTTCTGAGGCGAAGGGAAATGACCTGTTCTGATCTATCCATAATATAATAATCGTCTTGTGCTGGGATCGACTGAATAATCTTTTGTTCTGGTAATTTGTAACTGATACACCCGGTGCTATTTTATCGCATCTCTCTCTCTCTGCCAGTTGATCAGCTTTCTAATTTTCAAGCACTCCATAATAGAACAGTATCCACTGCATTGCGACTCTTCGTGGACAGCCGTTGTGTTTGCAGTTCTAGTAGTTTCCAAGACAGGTCATCATGTCTTCTCAAACTCTTCCTTCGAGACATGTAAGTTGGATTGAAGATGTGCATCTGATTTCGCTGTCAGGGCCACATCATCTGCACATGCTAGCTCTGATATGTAGGCTGGTTTCATATTCCAGTACGCTAGTGCACTTACATTCTTCCGACTTTTGGTTTCCTGTTCTTACACAATTTCTGCAGGTTTTGTAGACACTCTGTATTGCACTGATCAGGGGTGCTGGAATGTTCTTCCCTGCCAAGCAATCCCCAGAGTTAGCTCCAGGAAGCCTCATCAAATGCCTTTTCTAGATCCAGGAAACATAAGTGCATCTCACTCTTATATTCTAGGACTTTTTCACTCATCTGTCTGATTGTAGAGATACGGTTTTCTAGAGTGACTATTTCCAGGATTGCTGAGGAGGGATATGCCTCTTTCAGGGCAAGAAAAAAATCATAACCTGCACAGTTGGTGTCGACTGCAACTATCCATGCGACCTCAGACCACGAGGCTTACGACCACTGGTCCTACGCTATTAGTAAATGCAGAAGGCAGACACAGCGATAGTTTGGTTGGGGAGCGATAATAGCGCAATAGATTGCTCGAGACCAGCAGAATAAACAAAGGTTCAAATCCCCAATGAGACAAATTAAACACCTGGATAGTAACCACAGCAGCCAGCCAGTACCACTTGGTCATTACAAATCTGGAACCGGTACCTAATGCTCAGTACAACCCTAGATGTTAACAATTGACCTTTCACGGATCTATCGTTTAACTTATAATCAGTTGTTTGGGAAAGGATGACAGGCAGTTGGTAACCATACCTCCATTAACATATTTCTTCTAGTCTGATAATAGGTATGAATTACTTAAAGTATATGTCAGTTGTATAAAACCAGTTATAATAATAAACAAGCACAAGACGTGAAGATTAGCCTTCACCAGAAGGCGAGACACAAAATGCGAAATTAAAACGAACCAACTAAACAAGTTCAATTTATGTTAAAATAATACCAAAATAATTGAAACTGTTGATGTTTATTCTAGTGAAGGCTTATACAAGAAAATGGCGGACCTGCTCGTGTCTGAAGGCTACAAAGACGCTGGTTACCAGTATTTGCACATTGACGTCTGCTGGCCTGTTGAGAAAAGAGACAGCAATGGTAAATTAGTTGCAGATCCGGCCCGCTTTCCCAGTGGCATTCAGGCTATTGCTAAATATGTGAGTTCACGTTTCATATCTCTACTGACTGAGCTAGCTATAGTCAGCTGTCTCATTTCCTAAGGTGCTGATCTGGTGCTTCTTATCTGTCTCACCTTGATGCATTAGCATGGTACTACTCACCTGTCTCATCTTGATGTATTAGCATGGTGCTACTCACCTGTCTCACCTTGATGTATTAGCATGGTGCTACTCACCTGTCTCACCTTGATGTATTAGCATGGTACTACTTACCTGTCTCATCTTGATGTATCAGCATGGTGCTACTCACCTGTCTCACCTTGATGTATTAGCATGGTGCTACTCACCTGTCTCACCTTGATGTATTAGCATGTTTCTACTCACATGTCTCACCTTTATGTATTAGCATGGTGCTACTCACCTGTCTCACCATGATGTATTAGCATGGTTCTATGCACCTGTCTCACCTTTATGTATTAGCATTGTTCTACTCACCTGTCTCACCTTTATGTATTAGCATGGTTCTATGCACCTGTCTCACCTTTATGTATTAGCATGTTTCTACTCACATGTCTCATCTTGATCAATTTGCATGGTTCTACTTACCTGTCTCACCATGATGTATTAGCATAGTGCTACTCATCTATCTCACCATGATGTATAAGCATGGTGCTACTCATCTATCTCACCATGATGTATTAGCATAGTGCTACTCACCCGTCTCACCGTTATGTATTAGCATAGTGCTACTCACCTGTCCCACCTTGATGTATTAGCATAGTGATACTCACCTGTCTCACCTTGATGTATTAGCATAGTGCTACTCACCTGTCTCACCTTGATGTATTAGCATAGTGCTACTCACCTGTCTCACCTTGATGTATTAGCATAGTTTACTCATCTGTCTCACGATGATGTATTAGCATGGTGTCTCTCACCTGTCTCACGATGATGTATTAGCATGGTTCTACTTACCTGTCTCACCTTTATGTATTAGCATGGTGCTACTCACATGTCTCACGATGATGTATTAGCATGGCTCTACTCACATGTCTCACTATGATGTATTAGCAGGGTTCTGCTTACCTGTCTCACCTTCATGTTTTAGCATGGTTCTGCTCACCTGTCTCACCTTGATGTATTAGCATGGTTCTACTCACCTGTCTTACCTTTATGTATTAGCATGTTGCTATTCACCTGTCTCACATGATGTTTTAACATGGTTCTACTCATATGTCTCACCATGATGTATTAGCATGTTGCTATTCACCTGTCTCACCATGATGTATTAGCATGTGCTACTCACCTGTCTCACCTTGATGTATTCGCATGGTGCTAACGAACTGTCTCGTTTTTCAATAGTTGGCCTAGCACTGCTGAACTGTCCAATTTCCTGATTTGTTGACCTTTAACCGCTCAACTGTTTAATTTCTTGATGTATAGGTCATGTGCTGATCAACTGTCTCGTGCCCCAATGTACTGACTTGATGCTAGTCAACTGTCTCGTGCCTTGATATGTTGACCTGATGCTGGTCATCTGCCTCGTGCCTTGATATGTTGACCTGATGCTGGTCATCTGTCTCGTGCCTTGATATGTTGACCTGATGCTGGTCATCTGCCTCGTGCCTTGATATGTTGACCTGATGCTGGTCATCTGCCTCGTGCCTTGATATGTTGACCCGATGCTGGTCATCTGTCTCGTTCCTTGGTATGTTGACCCGATGCTGGTCATCTGTCTCGTACCTTGATGTGCGGGCCTGATGCTGGTCATGTGACTCATGCCTTGAAGTGCGGGCCTGATGCCGTTCAACTGTCTCGTGCCTTGATATGTTGACCTGGTGATGGTCAACTGTCTCGTGCCTTGATATGTTGACCTGATGCTGATCATCTGTCTCGTGCCTTGATGTGTTGACCTGATGCTGTTCATCTGTCTCGTGCTTTGATATGTTGACCTGATGCTGGTCATCTGTCTCGTTCCTTGGTATGTTGACCCGATGCTGGTCATCTGTCTCGTGCCTTGATGTGCGGGCCTGATGCTGGTCATCTGACTCATGCCTTGATGTGCGGGCCTGATGCTGGTCAACTGTCTCGTGCCTTGATATGCTGACCTGGTGATGGTCAGCTGTCTCATGTCTAGGTGTGTTGATCTTGTGCTGCTCAACTGTCTCCTTTCTAGAAGTGCTAGAACAAAACTGTTAGCAGTTTTTGATGGCTTATTTCAATGTATCATTATCTTTTTTTCAAAAACAGTTTTGGGTTCAAATCCGCAGGAGGGTTGAGATGGTTGTGGTCATAGCTAGGAATTTTTTTTTTTTAAAGTGGGGAGGGGGTTGAATAGATTTGCGAATTTTTTTTAGTCTAAAGTTTGTACCGGGGTATGTGGTGGAAAGTAAAGTCAACCGTGATGTTGACAGCATCATTGTGTACCGATTAGTCTACTCAACACAAACATAGATCCAACACAGTTTGCGTTTTTAGATCTAGTAACGTTTGCATTCCAGCGTTAAAGCTTTGATTTTTTGCAACGCACATTGATGGTGGATGGCATGATGATCCATATCATGGAGGGAATCCAATCTGACACCTCAGCAACGTTGGTCACAGGGTTTCGCTCTGACATTATGTTTTCATTTGCTTTTCCAATTTCAGTGTCTCTTTAGTAATTATCTGTCTGCTCCTCCTCATGAAGTGCCCTACTTATTGTTAGCTTTGAAAAAAAAAATCATTGAAACAAATGGCTGTCTCCTTGCTTAAATTCATCCCATGTAATATTTATCAGTTTCCTTATGCATTTGTTTCCAAATGTATTTAACTATCTATCGTTCAGTGTCTTTTGCGGCTCTCCACGTTTCACCGATATGTCTATAAGGCACACACACACACACACGCACGCACGCACGCGCGTGCACACGCGCGTGCACACAAACACACACACTCACACTAATTAGAATTCAAAAGTGCTTCCAGTTTTAGCCACGTGACTCGTGAATCTAATCGTATGGTGTTCTGAACAATTCATTGCACCAGATTGAGGTCTCGAGGAAAAAAAAGAGGTCATCAGCTATATACCTACTGTTGTAGATGTCATTTAAAAAAAAATGTTGGTAACACTGCACAAATCCGGTTAAATTATTTGTAGAACTATCACACAAAGATGAAGCCGTATGATAGATACATCAGGTATGCATGCTTTCAATCTGAGAAAAGTGTAGCTAACATATAGTTTATTGATCCAGGTTCATTCAAAGGGCCTTAAGCTGGGAATCTATGCAGATTTCAGCTATGAAACATGCCCAGGGTACCCAGGCAGCGAGTACTACATGGACATGGATGCCAAGACCTTTGCAGAATGGGAAATTGACAGTCTCAGGTACAACGGCTGCGATTCAAAGCCTAAAGAAATGCCTTATGGTAAGTTCAGTTGGTACACACGCGCACACACACACACTCACTCACACACATATTTCGAAGACGCAACATGTGCAAGATTGCATGAATTTGGAACTGAATGTAGATCTCACAAGAAAGGGAACATGAGAGAGAAAAGTAGTACTTCTGTACAACCCGAATTCTGCTGGAGCAGTCAGCATTACTTGACAGTTTTTAAAAACCATCGTAGCGGTTTACAGATTACCAAATTGGCCAAACTGATGTACCCCAACCATACGTCCAAGAAAGCTTTAAAGACAAAACTGCTAACCATCCCTCCCCTCGCCCCCACCCCACGGTTATTTGCTGTTCAACCTCCGACAAGACACAAGACCAGCTCAGACTCAAAAGGTTAGTTGCGTATCCTTTACATGACGTTGCAGAACCAACCCCAACAGTCTCTGGCTGTTGTGTGGTTTTTCTAGGCAAATTTACGTCCAGTAGTTTGCCAGCTCAGACTACGCAGTGAAATATTTCCCGACGGCAAACAAGTATTGTACGTAGCTAAATAATGCCTGACAATCTTAGGCGACACGGCGAGAGGCTGCGTTTTTGTGTGTGTGCTAGGCGAAACCCAGGACATCCGAAGACATAATGAAAACTGCCTCGCCAGACGTCATACAGACACTCTGTGAATGCTGCCACAACGTATTAAAAGGCAATGTTATCCTGACACTAAATCAGAAGAGACATTTGTATCGTTACAAAAACAACCTCAGAGCGAGCACCAAACAGAAACTTTCATTCTAAAAGCGGAAAGAGATTTTACAGCACGGCGGGTTTCTCTGGACTTCAATAGCTCCAATACTAAGTGTGGTAAAAGGCGTCTTGGCCAAGAAAATGACATTGATCAACATGCGTTAGACTGAATCTGTGTTCCAAAATAAAATAAAAATGTACCACCTGACACAGTCAACGATAACCTACTTAATTTGGATACTCACATGCAACATGTCCTGGAAAATGAAGAGCTGTCGCCGCGTGACAAAGCCCAACTATATCATCAGAAGTTGCAGAATTACTTGAATCATCTCAAACAGTAACGACACAAGTCGTTAGGCGCAGTGGATGCCAAAGCACCCACCACCAGTATAGACGTGTTCAGTAAATATGCCTTGATGATCCTCATAAAAACAAAAACTGAGAAAGCTTAAGCCGATGCGGTCAGTAAAACATTTGCCAAGTGGAAACCTATCAACTTACGAACATACATAGATTCAGAATTTATCAGCCAGATGTTCTTCAAGTAGTTTTTTTTTGAAGTTGAGGGCGTTTATTTGTTCATGACAGAAAACGAAAATGTCAAAGCGGCAGCAGTGGAAAAATTCAACCGCGCCTTGAAAGAAAATATGTGGCGTTATTTCACCAAAATTTACTCTTGGAGTCCCAGGGAGTTTAACATCACAAACCCAATGGATGGTAAAGAGAGACTAAAATCGACACATCATGCGTTCATTGGGCTTCTAGGTAAGAACCTATGAACGTATGATGCGTTCCCTGGGACTCAAAGAGTTAACAAGCAACTTTATATTGATGTGTTGGGTAGTCTTTTGCGGCATAACAATCATCCGTATCACCTGGATATTCGTATGGTACCCGTGCACGTTAACTTCTGTAATCAAGAAAAAGTGTGGCGTACGTTGTATTCGAGTGTTGACACCTCTAGCACACCAGTGTTTAAAGAAGGCGATCGGGTCAGACTCGTTCAAGCCAAGCAGACATTCCAATATGAGTTGTTACTGATATTACCACAGTCACGTATTCTATTATTGTATGTTTACTGTTTTTCTTGTCATTATACTCCACCCAACAGTGTATCCATTGATGAGTCGTGCTCTAAATATGACAGGCAGGTCAATAGTTTATATTTGTCAGTGGCCTGGCTATTATGGTGGAGTTGGAGTTAAGGTTCGTCTCAGAAAGTGTTCTTGTTTTTGTTTGTTTGTTTGTTTTGTGGTTATTCGTTTACCAGTTTGTCATCTCGTTAGTATGCAACCACAAAAACAATCGATACTGGCACTATACATAAACAAGTGATAAAAGGCTAGCTAGTAATTGTTTCCGTTGGCCACACATGTGTCAGATATTCAGCTAGCCAGACTGGCGTGTGATTTTTCTTGAGACGCTACCGTTAAAGTGATCCTGTGTATTCCTATTCGTGTTTGTGGTATTGGATATTCATGTAATGTGCATATGAAGGCTCTTTAGCCGCAACTTTCACGTGTCGTTTGTGTAATAAGAAGCCAACTGGTTCTAATTTTTGTATGGTTTGATATTTACTCACGATACATCTGAACAGATGTGATGTAAAAGCGAGAGCCCACCACCGCAAGTACGTATTGCTGACACGAAGTGTTTTCTATATCCTTATGAGATGACAATATCCAGAGCCATCAAAAGAGCACTGTGTCAGAAATTGTTTCTACCAACGACGCTCAGCGGCAAAAGTGGACTTTGATGATGTTAACACTGAATATAGATAATATAGAAAACATAGACTGCTTTTAACGCCATGGTGTACATTGGGTACAGGTGCGCCAACACAGAAAATTGACATCAGGAAAAAAAATGGCTCCTTCAGTCAACGGATGTCAGGCATTCAGGCTGCAATTCTAGAGGGGAAGCAACAAAAAGTGAGAGTCACGGCTTACCGGCACAGGACTGCTTGGTACACAAGGCTCCTGTTTCTTATTTATTGTCTACGGTTTTTAGTCATAATTACACCTTATGAATCAAACTGGCTAATTAAAAAAATTATATGTCAACATTGATTAATCACGCAGTTGTGTTAGCGCAAGAGATTCGCCATTAACCCTTGACCTAGTCCGTACATCGTTGATGATATCTGCTCTGTCCATGCTTCTTCCCGTTTCCATTGGTGTATTACTTGCCAGTTAGCCAGCTCTTTTAATGCCACTTACTCCCGCGTGTACAGGTGTGTAGTGTGTGTGTGTGTGTGTGCGTGTGTGTGTATATATATACAAATTATTTAGCACACATGTTTTTTTAATAAAAAATCACTGTATACATGCGCCATTGAAAGAGATTTGAAACGTATTTTCTGTCACTATGTCCCCAGCCAGATTATGCTGCGTTGAGGGAAGCCTGCAATCAATGGAGAAATTACCACGAGATACAAAATAGCTGGGAGTCTGTCGGGGATGTCATAGACCATTATGGTAACGACAAAGGCAACTTTAGTCAGTTTGCAGGCCCTGGTGGGTGGAACGACCCAGACGTGGTAACTGGTTTATTCATTAAGAGTTAGTTAGTTAGTTCGTTAGTTCGTTCATTAGTTAGTTAGTTAGTTAGTTAGTTAGTTAGTTAGTCAGTCAACAGAATATCCTCACTGCATGTCGAACCACTCAGTCCATAAGTGCTCGGATCCCCTTCTCAGTAAATCCCGCAGCGTGTAGCGGGTAACGACACCAATTTTTGTGTTGGTTTACTCTTCTTCTTTGATTACCCACGTAGTGTTCTTGTTTTGCGACACCCGTTAACATGTTGTTCTTGCAGTCTGACCCTGGTTGCAGATTCACAGTTCTCAGTTGGTTCACGCAAACTCTCTTAGAGCATTCAGTATATCAGCCTGGTCCATGGCTTGTCTGGCTTTCACCGTAGCCTGATCTGCAAGCCTATCAGCTTTCTCATTTCCTTGTACCCTCACATATCAGGCACAAAAATAAAACTAATCCTTGTCAGTCGTGAATTCTGTAGAGCCACCAACCGCTGCCTTCGGACCCAGCCCTTCTCTATCTGAGCATACTCATCGAGTCACGTAGAAAGCATGCCACGGTGAAAGTTTGTGTCTCTAGCCATAAGTGTCTTATTAAGAGTTTATATGTACACCGAAATTGTTCATGTGAACGTAACTGTTTCCATGTTGCTACATAAAATCACGAAGTTGACTCTAGTTGAATAGTCTTTGTATAATATGAACTGTTCAGGTGTAGCTATCTGCACAAACAGCTGAGTTATTTCAACACACAAAACTCAGTTTAATTGAGAGAAAAGTGAGTACTAGACCGTACACGGACCACTTACTGTAAAATGATATAATATGGGATTCTCCGTGGCCGAGTGGCTAAGCTGTTTGCCTCCTGTTCTGGAAGTTGTGGGACTGTGTAGTTCAGTTTACGAGTGCAGTTTTTAACTGAGAGCCCTGGAGCTTTGTGGGACACTCTGGGCGT